TTGGGAGAAAACTCAGTTTGCTAATTTGGGGATAATTGTTTTCTCCTTGTTAATGTAGTATTCCCTCACCACAAAACGTTCCAGTCCTGATGATGGCAACGAGGTCTCTCCATACTCCCTCTCCCCTGTCAGCAACAAAAGGTTGGCTACCATTTGAAATGGGATGGTGGTTATCCGTGCAGAATAATAATCTTGGAACTAATGCCACCTTGTGGTTTGCAAACTGGAAGTTGAATTGAAATTTGTTGTGCTTACTAGTGGTATTATTAAAAGAGCCATAGTGGCACAGTGGTCAGAATGAATTACTGCAGCTCACTCCAAGAGTTTGATTCTAAGCAGCTCAAGGTTGACTCGGCCTTCCATCCTTCCGAGTTCAGTAAAATGAGCCAGACTGTTGGGGGCAATATGCTGACTTTGTAAATTGGTTAGAGCGGGCTGTAAAGCGGTATATACCGTGTATACTTGAGTATAAGCTGAGTTTTTCAGCACATTTTTTGTGCTGAAAAAAAAAAAAAAAAACCCTCGGCTTATACTCGAGTGAGATTCCCTCTGAAAAAAAAATGGTGTGGAGCTCCGGAGCTGGGCAGCCGCTTCCCTGCTTCTGTGTTTCCTTTGCAACTTGTAAGCATGGGGGTAATCGGAAGCAGAAAAGTTCTTGCATGAGTATATATTGTTTTTTCTTTTTTTAACTGTTTTTTTTTTGGGGGGGGGAAAGACCCACCGTCATGTGAGAATGCTCAGACACAAAATCTATCCGCCTGAAAATAAGTGTGTGTGTGAGGGGGATTTTAACAGAGGGAAGACGTAGGGAGAAGGCAAAAGCGATGGAAGATCCTTCAGGGGAAACTGAGGGGGAGACTCACCCTTGGTCCAGATGAGCCCCCTTCCCCACCCCTAAGGAAGCAGAGGCAGCCAGCAAGGGCAGGCAAGCCCCACTTCGCAGACTCCGTCCGTCCTCACTCCCACCCAAAGCCACGAAGTCCCCCAATCGCCAGCCCAGAATCGCCCTCCCCTCAGGGGGCAGCCACGCCACCCAGTGTTTCCTGAGACAAGAAGCTCCGCCGTGCAATGAAAGCGCCCTGGCTCTAGGCTCGTGGGCTCAGAAAACAATGTGAGCCGAGGTGGCTTTGGCTCCGCTTGGCTTCGTTTCCTCAGCCCCAGGTGCTTTCAGTCCGCTCGGGAGGAGGGGGAGGAGGTGGTGGCGGCGGCTCGCATTGTTTTCTGAGCTCTGGGCGTGGCTTCGGCTCCGCTCGGCTTCGTTTCCTCAGCCCCAGCTGCTTTCAGTCTGCTCTGGAGGAGGAGGAGGTGGTGGCGGCGGCTCGCACTGTTTCCTGAGCTCTAGGCTCAGAAAACAACGCAAGCCGCCGCCACCACCTCCCCCTCCTCCCGAGCGGACTGAAAGCAGCTGGGGCTGAGGAAACGAAGCTGAGCGGAGCCGAAGTCACCTCGGCTTGCGTTGTTTTCTGAGCCCACGAGCCTAGAGCCAGGGTGCTTTCATTGCACGGCAGAGCTTCTTGTCTCGGGAAACGCCGGGCGTCTGCTGCCCCCTGAGGGGAGGGCGATTCTGGGCTGCGCGATTGGGGGACTTCATGGCTTTGGGTGGGCGGGTGGGTGGGAGCGAGGCCATTGACTTTAAGCTCTGCCGACCGAGTGTTTCACAAATACTAGTGGGACCTCCGTCCACCACCACCCCTCCCTCTTTTGCCTCCTTCCTTCTGATCAATCAGGTTTTCCCAGTATTTGCTCACAGCTGCGTTTTCTCTTCTGCCGTGCTAGGCGTTGAACGCAGGGATTTCTGATTCCCCTTACACACGCGTGGATATGCCGCGGGGTGTTTTCTTCCAAACGCCCCAAGGGGAGAGAACACTGACTTTCATGATAGTGAGATCGTTTCCCAAATTAATTGATTCACTAACCCAAAAGAAGATGATGATGACAGTGGGAGGCAGGAGTCACTCTCTCCCTTGCAAGCCCCCAGTGCCCGGCCCTTGCGAGAAAAAAGAAAAAGCCGTTCTTATGCTCGCTCTCTCTCTCTCTCTCTCTCTCTCTCTCTCTCTCCCCGGAATACAGTCAAGCTCTTTCCAGCATGCGCGATCTGCCCCCGCCGCTTTGCACCTTGCAAATGCAAAACCCCCGGTGGAGGTGCAAAGCGGCGGCGGCGAATCGCGCGTGCTGGAAAGGGCTTGACTGTATTCCGGGGGGAGAGAGAGAGAGAGAGAGAGAGAGAGAGCATAAGAACGGCTCTTGCTTTTTTCTCGCAAGGGAGAGAGTGACTCCTGCCTCCCACTGTCGTCATCATCATCTTCTTTTGGGTTAGTGAATCAATTAAACCTTTCATGATAGTGAGATCGTTTCCCAAATTTCCCTTAAATCAGGGAGGAAATCAGAAACAAACCTTTGGACTGAGAATAAGCCTGTTCCTATGATGCCATTTTTGTTCACTGCAGTGTGAAAAGTGTGAAAAAACACACTTCTTTTTCTTCATCTTCTTGTTCCCTATTTACTGGTCTCTTTCAAAGAGGAAATTGTGAACATCAAACTTATTCTCAACTGTCCTAGTGAAAGTTTTTATTGGTATCTATTTTTATTTTTGAAATTTACCAGTAGCTGCTGCATTTCCCACCCTAGGCTTATACTCGAGTCAATAAGTTTTCCCAGTTTTTTGTGGTAAAATTAGGTGCCTCGGCTTATATTCGGGTTGACTTATACTCGAGTATATACGGTAAGTCCGTTTATTCTATTCTATTCAGAAGGCATCTGAACCACATAAACTCTGGGTGTATTTGATTAATCTGATCTAGTCTTCTTTTTTTAATAAAGTTTTATTCAGTTTTAACAAAACAAATAAAACATCTTATTTGAGTACATCATGGTTCCAGGTTATCACATTTCCATACAGACACAATTTCATATGCATATTCATCTTATGTATTCAACTTCATATCTTATTACTCTTTTTCCAATTTCTCCCTTTACTTCTCTTAATTTTCTTTTATGGTTATCTCATTTTCTGCTTATTCAGTTGTATTTCTTTTACCTAAATTTCTATATCTTTTTATTCATTGTACCTATACTTTCCTCTGTCTTGTTTACAATTTCATATGTTCTCTTCCAACATTCTTAAGAAGCAAAATTCCCCCATGATTGCCAATCGAAGTGCAACACCTTTAAATCTTATTGTTATTATCATATGAAATCTCATTAAACACTGAATTTGTGCATTCTGAAATTATAACATTCAGATTTCTAATATCTATTTTATATCATGTAGATCTCATCATTCAGACTTTGCTTGGTACTTCCCCTTGAAAATGTAAAAAGAAAAATTCTAATATATATATGTGTGTGTGTGTGTATGTGTATATATATGTATATGTATATGTATATGTATATACATACACATACATACATACATACACATTAATAAACAAAATAGTTATTCAAAATCATTCTAGTACTGGTACGAACCTTGTAAATCTTTCACGTTTCTTTTCAATATCTATCTTTGAGCACAATTGAAATGTTTCCCTCCCTTCTTCATTATTACTTAACTGTTAATAAGCATACCATTGGATAGTCATACAGTTTTATCTTGTAAATTATTTGCTATTAATAAGCAAAATAATTATTCAAATTCATTCTAATAACTGGTATAAATTTCCTTATAAATCTTTCACATTTCTTTTCAATATTTTAACAATCTTTAGAAACAATTGCAATGTTTCCCTCTTTTCTTTATTATTTCATTAATTCTAAATAAACATACCATTACAAAGCAATACAGCTTTATCTCATAGATTATTTACTTATTTCATTTCTAACTCATCACAATATTCTACTGTCACAACACTATCTTTTGTACCTTTGCAGAATCCTCACTTTTAACTTAATTTAACCATTGTCTCTATGTTTTCTAGCTGAGCAAATACCTTTAATCCTAGTATGTTTCCCCTTTTTCTTTATTTCCTGTTTTTGTCCCTCATAAGTTCTTTCCCTTTCTATCTTTCCCCCCTTTTTCTCATCCCTTTTTTATACCCTTCTCTCTCCAATTTTCCCTTCTGTAGTTTTCTTTTCTGCTTCTCCTTGCTTCTATACTTCTTTTTCAGACTATGTTTTTGGCTGTTCCCTTTGACCTCAAACTTTAACTCCTTTCTCCCTTTTACCCCTTATTACCACATTTTGCATTATTTGATCATTAAAAATGGCTTCTTCTTTGTCCCGCCCTTCTTCTTGCTCTTGAAGCTTTTCCTTTTGCTTTTCATAGTTCAGGATCTCCATTTCAAAAAATTCAAATATGAAACTTAGAGATCTTCTTTCAGAAGTATCCCTCTAGGTACTTTTAGATTCAGGGTACCTTGCTTAGATGTTCTCTGTTGTTTAGCCCAGTCTGTCCTGTTTTCCTCTTTGCTTTCCACCTGCACAATCTTATCCAGTCGGGTTCTTCTTTGAGGTGGCCATTTCTGACCACCGCTGCAACCGCCTTCGGGGAAGGAAGTTTAGAACAGCCAAGAAGGAGAGACGCGGCTGCTCTCCACTCGGCTAGCAATCTCCCCCCTCTTCACCACCTCTACGGGGTGGCTTCAGCCCCGAATCCAAAGGATCAGGGTGTTCCAGCGGCGAGCACAGATCGAAACCGTACACGATCACGGATTTCAGTCTGTCGCTGAAGAGACCCAAACCGGAAGTCCATCTACTCTTTTTAATGTTACTTCCTAGACTATTAATCAATGAATATATTATTTCTAGGAATTTTACAGGGCAAAGCAGTGTTTCTCAACCTTATCAATTTAAAAATGTGTGAACTTCAACTCCCAGAATTCCCCAGCCAACCAGCCATGTAACAATGTCAGTGTGTGAATGAACAGGAAGGAAATGTGGTGTGGAATTTAGAACATTAGGTCTCGACCATTGCTCAGTACACAACTCTCAAAGAAAGCATCCCCAGCGTTTGAATAACCAGCCCCTGCTTGATCTCTAGCTGTTTACCTAGAGAGAAAGAAATAAAGTAAAAGAAATATCTTTTTCAGAACACAAGAAGAGCAGTGCTGGATTAAACAAAAATTAATTAGTCTAGCACTCATTTCTCAAAATGTGAAAAAGCCCTAAATAGGGAAGAAGGGCAATACCATCACCCGACTTGCATGCTACTTCTAGTTCTGCCAGGAGAATGTAACTCATCATGACTAATAGCCGGTGATGGTTATTCACATGGCTGTCCAGTTCTCACATAGGTGACTCCAGGCATTAAAAAGTCCACAACATAAAAACCCATACCTTCCCCCTACAGGGTAGCAGCAACATAATCAAATCAGCCATTCTCCATTCATGGTCCCCAGGCACACTGACCAAACCACGTCTTCAGGGCCTTTCGGAAAAGCAACACAGTGGAGGGCCAATCATACCTTGGGGGAATGATGATCCATTGAGAAGATCCCACCACCACTTCCTTTTCATGGTTCCATGAACCATACATCCCTAATAGACGGGATCTGCAACATACTCCACCTTCCCATCCTGGTGGGCTGGGTGGATGAAATAGGAGAGAGGTGGTCCTTTAAATGGTCTGGAATTCCTGAAACGACTTCAGGAAATAGTAGAACAGCCAGATTCTTTTGGCAATTTTAAAATATTTTATATTTTTTGTGTATATTTGTAGGAAGTGGGTCACCAAACCAGGGTATACCTGGGGGGAACGGATATTCCTTCTCTTGAGTTCTTTCCTCAACTTTGTTTTTCTTTTTCCTTTCAATAGTCAAAAATTACTTCGATCACCTCGAAAGCCCACAAGGAAGATATCCAAGATTCCATTCAAAGTTTTGGATGCTCCAGAACTTCAGGATGACTTTTACTTGAACTTAGTCGATTGGTCATCCCTCAACGTCCTTAGTGTTGGTCTTGGGACATGTGTCTACCTTTGGAGTGCTTGCACTAGCCAGGTAAAGCCTGTTGTTTGGAACAAGAGTTTACATTCCTGCCCTTGGACATGTCCCCCAATAGAGAGTCAATTTTCTCCTTATAGAAGTCTGACTTTTGACTAGCTTTGCGGGTTTCCTGCTCTGAGCATGCAACACATTTAAATTAAAAAACAGTATCTTTCAGCTGCTGGGAGTTTGGAAACCCCTGGCTTGAAATTTTTGTTAAGGACAGGATTTTCCTACTGCTTGGCTTTCTGAAGCCAAAAATACAAAAGAGGTTTCTGAAACCCAAGTGTATGAATTCCCTTTTTTTTTCAGTGCTTTTACAGAGATTTTGATTCTTGACTTTTTTTCCTCCCAAGGTGACGCGGCTATGTGATCTATCTGTGGAAGGCGATTCTGTTACCTCTGTAGGATGGTCAGAACGGGTTAGTATGTGATCACTGCAGGCCTGAGACCAAGATTGAGAGCCAGTTTGCTATAATGGCTAAGATACTGAAATCAGGAGAGTATGGGTTTTAGGCCTCCATTAAGCCTGAAAGTTGGCTGGGTGACTTTGGGCCAGTCACTTTCTCTCAGTCAATTCACCTCAAAGGGTTGTTGTGGGGGGGGGGGGGGGGGGGAGTCACAAGTATTAAGTTTGTTCACCAACTTGAGTTAGTTATATATATAAAAAGAGGGGATATAATAAAGAGAAGACCAGAAAAATAGATAATGCAGTGAAAGCTTTAGAATTAAAACTCCTTAAATTGAAACAGTATAAGAGGACTAAAGGGCTAAAACCAAGACAGGTGGATCACTTTTAAACCTTTATAGTATGTGGGCAACAGAGCTGTAGCTCAGCAGTGCTTTGTAGACAGAAGATTCTAGGTTATATCTCTGAAATAGCCTGTTAAAGGATATTAATTGATAGAGATACTTTGCAAAGATGCCCCTTCCATAGAGCATACAGGCCGATTTCAGATCAGGTAATCCAGTTATTGCCTGTACTGATACAAAATTATTACTTTCATATACTTATACATATTACATATTTGCACTACCACGTTATCCTACACAACTTATCTTGCAAAACCATACAAAGCCCCCTTACCATAAAAAGTGCAATTCAGCGTCCTGCAGAAATTTTGTGTGAGTGAATCTGCATACATATGCCTGCGAAATAAATAACAACAAATGTTTAGGTGTTTAGTTGCTAACAAGAGAGAGGAAGAAAGGAGAGGGAGAGGGGGGAGAGAGAGAGAGAAATACGTTCTTCAACATTGCTCTGGAGCTGGGACAGTATTTGGAGCAGTGTTTTCCCAGGAGAGTGATAATTCCTGCAGCCGTATGTTTGATATCTTTTTCCCCCTGCTTAGGGCAATTTGGTGGCAGTTGGGACCCACAAAGGTTTTGTACAGATCTGGGATGCTGCAGCAGGAAAGAAGCTCTCAATGTTGGAAGGTCACACGGCCAGAGTGGGTAAGGAAAGCTGCGTGATGTTGCCTATTGGAGACATTCTATCCCACCTCGAATGTTAATTTTTCCTTGCTCAGTAATAAATTCTCATTATACTTAGCACTGTAGACAACTTTTAGTCATTGTGAGAACATCGCACTGGAGGATATAGCCCCGTTCTTCCATAATCCTAGGTTAAATTATCTGGGACTTGAATGCTTCCTAAGCCATCTTCTCCTGTCTGTGAACCTGTCCATGTACTGAGATCATCTTTGGTAATCCTACTTCATGTTCTGTTGGAAAGCTAGAATATTGTAACCTGGCATGGGACATCGCTGGTTGCTGCAAGTTTTTGGATGTGCTTGCCATGTGTTCTCCCTTAATATTCAGGTGCTAAGTGAAAATGGTTTTGTTCCAGAGAGGTTAGGATTTGAAAGGGTTTGTATTTAGCTGTTTTCTGTGGAGGGACTCATGCCTTGACTGTGGCTGTTTTTATTGTTAAGCTGCTTTTTAATTTGATAAACAGGGTAGATGCTCTTTACTTTTTAGGAGAGATGTTAACATTTCAAGGATTTAGATAATTTTTTAATCTGGATGTTGAACATGCAGAAGATTGTTCATAATTTTGTGTTATTTTGGTTAGCTGTAATTCTTTTTTTTACGAAAGAAAAATAATATATTGTGCTGCACAACTATCTGGTTTTATTCTCTACGAGCAATTAGCTAATGTTCTATCTAATCTAGTGGCTAGAAACACACCGAGTAATTAAATTGAGAAGGGCTCTTCACTCAGCAATTGGGAGGGGGGGGGAACCTTCCTGAGACCTGTAGAGTTGCTGTTGCTAGTCAAAACAAGTATTGGGATAGGTGAGCAATAGCTTTCTGGATAAACAAGGCACCAGTTATTGGAATATGCTTCAGAAGAGGTGACATACGCAACATTTAATCACTTCTTAGCTTTAAACAACAGGGATATTCAGTTTTCTTTCAAGACTGTAATTCCTTCATAGTCTCAAGGCAGTTCTGTTTTTTAGCGTTCTTTCATTGTTAAAGATGAAATTGTGAAATCTGGCATCCTATGCTGGATGTTGCACTGGAAGTGTGATGACCCAGGATGGGGAATACAAAATAAACACGGTCACGAAAACAGGTGAAGCCTCTTTTACTCCTTCACTTTGCTTCAAAGCTCCAAATATCCTTGACTGGAGACAAAAAAACTCCCCCACAAGCAGTTACGAAAAGGAGGAAATGCTGTTTATACTAAAAGTGCCTATAAATTATAAGAGTAAAAACAACACAAACCACACTGAAGCAATTAAGGGAACCAGGCAAGATAAGAGCTTGAAGACGTCCACAGATATCGGAACACACACTGGGAAGGACACCAAACTCAGAGAGGAACAACAGACTATAGAGATATTTCCATGATTTGTTTCCAGCACTGATCCATATGCATGTCTGTCCTTTTAACCAGTTCTCACAGCTGCAGTCCATAAAGAGGATCAAGGCCCTTTCCTCCCCCGTAGACCACACCATTCACGTCTCTCCCTTATCCTCTCCTCCCTGCATGCCCTAGGATGGAGAGGGGATGGGCCTGGGTCTTCCTCTGACTGCCCAGCTGGTCTCTGCCCTTCCCCAGCCTCCTATGAAGAACGTCTCTTCATAAAGGATTTTTCCCAACTACACTGTTTTTCATGATTTTCACAACACTCTTCTGTTCTAGGTGCTCTGGCATGGAATGCAGATCAGCTCTCTTCCGGGAGTCGGGACCGGATGATCCTCCAGAGAGACATCCGGACACCTCCCTTGCAGTCTGAGCGGCGCCTTCAAGGCCATAGGCAGGAAGTGTGTGGGCTGAAATGGTCCACCGATCACCAGCTCCTGGCATCTGGTGGGAATGACAACAAGGTGCGGTTGGTGACCAGCTTGGCCTTAACCGCTGCTGATCCAGGGTAGCTGTGGATACACCACCTATAGTTGCTGCATTTCTGTGATACTCCGTAGTAGGAGAGTAGAGGGTTGAACCTTGAATTAAGAGAATGCTGGAAGCACACAAGAGCAGTTGACTGTGACACAATATGACACTGTTTTTTATTTGAATTTAAATATGTCTGAACAGTATGTTCATAGTAAGGTAATCAGAGATGGCAAAGAGTTCTTCCCTAAAGCACCACATAAGATTTTAAATTTGATCTGTTCTCTTACTGAGACTGTGGGGAGACATTTTGGCCCTCAGCCTCTCACCACTGGTTATATTAGTAGCAAGATCCATCTGGTTCCATTTTATCTCTTGATGACGGTGTGGTTTTCTGTATTAGGTTGGTGTTGATTCTAATTTTATCTTTTCCCATTCCTTTCTGAAATAATGCACAGTTTTCAATGTTTATCTCTAGTTTATTATTGGATATTGCTTTGATGACTCTTGAAGGATGCAATATAACATACACTTCAGCCTAGCTGCTGTTTGAAGTTCTGAGGGACCTCCCCAGAGCCATTTACAACCCATTTTCAAGGTTCTGACTGACACACACACACACACACACACACACACACACACACACATACATATTTTGGGTGCTTCGCAAGCCGCTCACATTTACAGCCGTTTGCAGTGTCCCATGATCATATGACCATGATTTTCAGCTTATTTTTGCCAGCTTCCGACAAAAACCTGCCATTGGTGAAAATGGGTTTTCTTTACTGCTGCTGCAAAAAAGCTTGTAAAATCAGGCACAGTCAAGAGGTGACACAATCAAGAGGCACTTAACGACTGCCATGACCATAATTCCTGGCTCAATGACAATCATAAGACGAGGATTACCTGTACATGGTTTAATTTAAAAAATAAATAAACAGAATATGTAAATATTTGGAAGAAAGGCAAGAATAGAAACGTTCAAATTTAAAACGTAGTAATAGCCAATTTCTCTTAAGCCTGAGGCCTAATTCCAAACATGTCATTGTATTCTAATAATGAATAGAACAGTTCAGTCCACAAACCAATTAAAATCTGTTTGATTATTGATGGTATTGATCTTTCAATTCAAAAATACAGTCTAGAACTCAGTGGATTACTATAATCAAAACTGGGCGATGAAAGAAAGTCCTTTTTCCAGTTGCTCTTCTTCCTCCCTCCCAGCGTGCAAAACACAGTCTTGGGGCAAAGAGTGCAAGCGGTAACTCGTGTGAGCCTTTGCCTCAAATGTTATAGAGCCCCTCTGCTCTGAAAGCATGATGCTCACGGGCCTCTCTCTCTTTCCTTTCCAGCTCCTTGTCTGGAACCATTCCAGCCTCAGCCCCGTCCAGCAGTATACAGAGCACCTCGCAGCAGTCAAAGCTATTGCTTGGTCCCCTCATCAGCATGGGCTCCTGGCTTCAGGAGGTGGGACTGCTGACCGCTGTATACGTTTCTGGAATACCTTAACTGGACAGCCGTTGCAGTGTATTGACACAGGGTCACAAGTGTGCAACCTTGCTTGGTCCAAGCATGCCAATGAACTGGTAAGAACCATTGGGCGATATGGGAACAGCAAAGTAGCCTCCCTTCCTTGGTTGAGGCGTAGGAGAAGGATTCCCAGTTTGGCTCTTTCTTTTTTAGCAGAATTCAGTGTGACACAGGGAATATCATGTTGAACTTGGAAGCTTTGAGACATAGTTCTTTTCAGGTGGGTTTTATGTCTACCGTGTTTCCCCGAAAATAAGACCCAATTGGAAAATAAGCCCTGGCATGATTTTTTTTTCGGGATGCTCATAATGTAAGACCTACCCCAAAAATAAACTCCAATTAAGATTGTCAGCCAGATGGATGCATTTAGTACTTTATTTCCCTGAAAATAAGATTTAGCCCACGGGTGTCAAACGCGCCATTTCACATTGCTGTCATGTGACATATCACAATGTTTTTTTTTTGCAGAGCTAGGGTGGGCATAGCCTGAGTGTGATGCATCTGACCCAGGGGCTGCCAGTTTGACACTCCTGATCTAACCAAAAAACAAGCCCTAATGCAACTTTTGCAGCAAAAATTAATATAAGACACAGTCTTACTTTGGGAGGAACACGGTATGAATATTTAACCATGTAGTATAATTGTAGTATTACTATATCCCCATTATTATCTTCTTTACTACCCTCTCTTATTGGGATGATGGTGATGATTCTATTGCTTTGCACATACACTAAGAGCTTCTACATCAGAGACAAATTCCTTGTGCGTCTAATCACACTTGGCCAAATAAAGTATTCTATTCTTTTCTTTAGCTGTCATCAATGCAGAAGATGCTGGATGCTAGAATAGCAATCATCCTGCTAGAGTAGGGCTGTTCCTCTCTTTAAAAGCAATCGGGGCCCTTAGCTGCTGTTAGTAGGCTTGGGGCAGAGTTTACACATTTTAATAAAAGCATACCTATGTTCTGTTATGTCCTTTGATAATTTGAGCACTGTCCCCTCATTCCCAGCTACCTTGCAGAGCTATTGTGAATAATGCATCAGTTTATGGGAGAAGTTACATCATTGGAGGGATTCTGAACTAAAAATGGAACTGAATAAAAATACTGTTTTTTGCTTTTATTTGGGGTCCTCAGAGTTCCCACTTATATAAACTTTTCTTTCAGCAACTTGTAAGGAATGTTTTCTATCTCTTGATCTCTGTTCCATCATGAAGCAGACCAAATAATTCCTTGACTGAGACAATTGAAAGCAAAAGGAGAAGGGGATAGCAAAGGATGAGATAGTTGGATGGTGTCATTGGCATGGTGAATATGGGTTTGGGGAAACAGTGAAAGATCGGTGAGGGGGGTGATTGTGTCTGGTTTGCTACGGTCCATATGGTCGCAGAAAGTCGGGCATAACTTGGCAACTGAATAACAATGAGTCAATTCATACTTCTTAACTGATAAGGATTTCTATGGAAAACCCATTTACAGGCTACCATCAACACCCTCAAAAGTCAAATTATAATTGGGATCCCCTCCTCGGCCTTTGTGCTTGCTTTTTGTTTGCAGCTAAGACCTGAAGAATATTCTCTCTATAGGTGAGCACTCATGGATACTCACAGAACCAGATCCTCGTTTGGAAGTACCCGTCCTTGACTCAGGTTGCAAAGCTAACTGGGCATTCCTACAGAGTCCTTTACTTGGTGAGTATGGAGTTAGTGCATCCATCCTTGCTCTTCTTGACCTTTTGATTGCCTTCAATATCATCAATCATGTTATCTTCTGCTCTGGTTCCAGAAGTTGGTGTTGACAATGTCTTGTGCTGGTGCCCCTGGAGGTCAACACTTTGTGTTGGTTCTCCTCCTTCCTCTGGGGTTAAGTTCCAGTCTTACGTTGTTAAGGAAAGGAGCAAGGGATCCCCCGTCTTCAGTCCCTGCTTTGTGAAGTTCTTCGGGATTTTATATTCTCCCCACTCTCATTTAATATCTACACAAAACTGCTGCATGAGGTCATCTACTGGAAATATCACTGTATTTATGATACCCAGCGGAGATACCCAGATATCTCTCCACCCTTTGCATATTAAGTGATGATGTTGGCGTCCTTTCCTCTGAAATCTGGAACAATAAGTCTGAGTGGGAAAATGGATCTGAATGGGAACATTAGGCTTCGGCTCAACTAGCAAGACTGAATGGCATTGGATTTTTGAGGTCCACTGATTCCCAGAACCTACCACTTTTGGGTCTCGATGAGGCCCCAAACTGTGCAATCTTAGGCTTCTCCTGGACTCATAGTCCTGCTTGAAGAGCAGGTGACAGTTGTGGCCAACTCCTTGTTATGTTCCAGTTGTGCCCATTCCTGGACCAGGAGGCTCTGCTCACAATTGCTCATACCCTGGTCATCTCTCGACTGGATTACTATCATGTGCTCTTCATGGGGCTGCCCTTGAACTGCATCCAGAAGCTGCAAGTGGTAAAGAATATAGCAGCATGTGCAGTTACAGTATGTGCACTTCCATCAGCACAACATTATACTCTGGTTCAGCGGCACTGGTTCCCCATATGCTTCTGAGTTCAGAGTGCTTGTTGTGACATACAAAGTCCTCTATAGCATAAGACCAGGTTATTTGAACATCCCTTCCAGTTACATCTACCCATTCCTTCATGAGAGGCACGTTATGGGTCCTGTCTGCAAAAGAATTTCATCTGGTGAGACCCAGAAAGAGAGCCGTTTCTTCCATGGCAGCTGCTCTGTGGAACATTATCCCCTCTGACTTAGATGTTCTGCCACTATGGCTCTGCCACTATGGCTCTGGCACTATGCCTGTGGGTCCAGTAACGGTGGGGAGCTCTTATAGGGACCGCGTTGAACTGATGTAGGGTGAATTCTGCTGCTGATCGTGATTTTCTGGTTTTTTTAAAATTGATTATGAATACTTTTTATATGTTCAATTGTTTTTAACCTGTTTTTATTGAATTATTGTTGTGAGCTGCCCAAAGATACGTAAATGAGATGGGTTGCTGTATAAATCACATAAACAGTATTAATCGTTTTCCTCAACTCTCTTTTATAGGCAATGTCACCAGATGGAGAAGCCATTGTGACAGGAGCCGGGGATGAGACACTGAGGTTTTGGAATGTTTTCAGCAAAACTCGCTCTACCAAGGTAAAATCTTTGTGTGTGTGTGTGTGTGTGTGTGTGTGTGTGTGTGTTTTCCATGTACTTGAGCAATCATCTTTGAAGCTAATGCTGAGTTCCAGTGGTACATAATGAGATGATGCTTACAAGAAATGGACCACCTGAATGACTGAAGACAAAGCTTCAGCCTCAAACTGAGCTGCTGTCTGTCTTTAAAAATCTTTTTATCTTCTGCCCTGAAAGTGGCTAGATATGTACCTCTGGGGATTAATGAATTCCATCCCAATGTAGTGCCAGCTCAGAAGTTCAAATCCATGACTCATCATTGCTGTTGTATTCTGCACATATTTGAAGGCCGTCTTAGAAGAACTTAAAAGTAGGCTATAAAGAAATCATGCTTATCTTCCAGGGATAACAGTGAGTGGATTGTATTGGAGACTATCATCCTTAACATCCGTTGCCTCTGTCAGAAGGGTGCTAGGGACTTTTCGGGGACATATGGGAACCTAGAGTGAGGTGCTCTCTGTGACCCAGGGCAGCTGTTTTTCTGTTTTGATTGTAACTGGCAGCCTCTCTGAAGTTAAGACATGAAAGGTGGAGCAGAGCAGTCAATGCCTTGTTTGTTTTAAAGATGTATCTAGCTGCCCATCTTATGCAGCATAACCTCAGGTGGCTCACAAGTGACAGTAAAAACAATGGGGAAAAAAACATAAAATCCTACACAGAAATTCCCACTGCCCTGAAGCATTCCCACACGTCCATAAAGAACTTTACCTGGCTCCAGACTTACACTATCCCAATACCTGTGGGAAAAGCCAGGCCTTCAAGGCTTTTCAGAAGGCTCTGAGAATGGAGCCCTGGAAGGGTGGTTCCAAAGGGCAGGGAGCCACCACTGAGAAGGCATGCTGCCTGCCTCCCACTCTATGGCAACATTTAGGGAAGGCACCTGGAACATGCCCATCCTTTCAGATCTAGTGGCACAGGCAGATGTCCTGAGAGAGAGGGTACTATTACTATTAGTCCTGATGGCTAGGTAGAGGCTTCAGGTTCAAATCCAGGATACCATCTGGATATTAAAATTTGGGACTGGTAATAGGCAAGGGGCGATTTTCCCGTACTTTGCTGGCTGGCTTCTTGGAGACTTCCAGATACCAATGTAAGAAATTCAGTGCTGGATTGTTCTGGATTAGGAGAGAGATGATTGTTGTGTTAATAGCTCTTTGTGCCTGCATGAAAGAGCCTGTAATAGTCAGATGATGGGAATACAGGTAGCCCTTGCTTGATGATGCTAATTTGGACCAGAGACTTGTCATTAAGCGACCTGGTCATAACTCGAAAAACCACACGAACTGTGCTGCTTAACGGTGGCAGTTTCAGCAGTTCTGGTTGCCATAATTAAGTGAGAACTGTGCAGGTCATTAAGCAAGGACCTCACATGACTGTGACTTCCTGCCAGCTTCCGCTTTGACTTTGCTTGTGGGAATAGCAATAGCACTTAGATTTCTATACCGCTTCACAGTGCTTTACAGCCCTCTCTAGGCAGTTTACAGAGTCAGTCTCTTGCCCCCAACAACATGGGTCTCATTTTACCAACCTCACAAGGATGGTGGGCTGAGTCAACTTTGAGCTTGGTGGGATTTGAACTGCCAAACTGCTGGCAGCTGGTGATCAGCAGAAATAGCCTGCAGTACTGCATTCTAACCACTGTGCCATGTGGCTCTTAAACTGGTAAGGAAGGTCACAAATGATTAATGACTGCAGGGAGGTTGTGATGACCTACCACTCATTCAGCAGCGTTATAAGTTTGGTCACTGAACAAATGGTCATTGCACAAAAGTCACCCATAGTAGAAATGCTCCAAATTTGAATGGGTATTTTTGTATGGGAGTGTACATGTATATGTGTGTGGATCAGGGAGGGAGGGAGAGAGAAGAGAGAGAGAGGGAGGGAGGGAGAGTCAGAGAGGGGGGGGAGGGAGAGAGAGAAAGGGATTTTCCATATTCTTTATTCCATTTTGTTTTACTCTTAGTGTTAGAATATGTTTACATTTCCAGGTGATATTACAACCCATTCAGAAATCTTCTGTTAAAACACTTCTAAGAAATGCAATGCTAATTGCTTCCTTCTCTGTCTCTTCGCTCCTAGGAGTCTGTATCAGTTCTTAACCTCTTCACCAGGATACGGTAAAATCAACCCACAGACTGTATTTTGGGATCAAGACCACTAACCGGCATGCATGGACCAGAAGCCTGGATTTGGGAGAGGGTGGGGTGGGAACTGGGGGGCAAGGTGTCAATCTGTTTAGAGGGGACTCAGAGATGCTTATTAAATACCTGAGTATGAATGCTACTGAGCATTATTTAGGGGGGAGGGGGATGGGTGGGAAGGGAAGGGAAGCTGGCAAAAAAAAGAAGGAGAAATATTTTCTTGTCCTCCAGGACAGGGGACAAGTGCGGAAGGGCTTCAGAGAGAGGAGAATCTGGAAGTGTGTGTCTGTATGTAGTGTGTGTGTGAGTGTGTGTGTGTGTGTGTGAGAGTGAGAGAGAGAGAGAGAGAGCAAATGCCCAAAGTGTGCCTGCCTGTTGGACAAATTTAAAAAAAGGAAGAGGAGCAGGGTTCATGTTAGGTCCTGGCCTTGAAGATGAATTAAAAAAAAAACGGATTTTGTGTATCTATAAAAAGTAAGCCGGCTCTGATGGAAGTAACACCAATGTGGTAAGTGGTGAAGAAGGAAAAACAACTTTGCAGGATTTATTTTCCAAGGCATACAGAGTTTGGAGATGTCCGCTCAATGGCATTTGGATGATCCCTGAGCGCATGGTGACTTGGTTTGTGGGAGCAGCACACTGAAAAGGGGAAGAGTACTTTTATTTAAGCCTTAATCTTTCTGCCCTCTAGCTGTGTTGAGTGCAAACAGGCTGTCAGTCTCAGCACGGCCAGGGCCTGAAAAACAGGAGGCCAAGCTGACTGCTCAGATAGCAGGGATGAGTGTAACTCTTCGGACGTATTCAGCTTAGGGAAGGCTAATATGAACCTGCAAGGCCCTATTTTGCAGGCCACATATGGCGCCAGCATCCTTTTTTATTGCCCTTAGAACACCTCAGCAGCGGGCAAAGCCAAATGTTTAGCCCATTATTTGTAGGTGTTTTTTAAAAAAAAAAAATAGTTGGAGGAACAATAGTTAAGGAACAAAATGGGGGTGGGGGAAGTTTTGCCATTCTTGTTTCCTAAAGGGCTGCTTTTTCCCTTCTGCTGATGGGAAAACAAGGCTTATAAGAGCCACCTGATGCCTCAACTCCTCCTCCTCCTCCTCCTCCTCCTCCTCCCCTTTTCCAGGCAGAAGAGTCAACCTAAAAGTTTACCTTCTTTTAGTGATGGCATTTCACCAGCCATAACCCTGCAGTCCCTGGGCCATTCATATCTTTTAGACGAAAGAACAGTCCTTGGCTGAAGAAAAAAAAGTTACTCAAACAGCACAGTGATATTTTTATGCTGAACATTTCGTAGGGTCAGAACGATTTTGAAGAGTTTCCAATAAGCAAATAAGCACAAATTTCCAGGAGAGAGCGGAGAGGACAGAAGTGTTGGCTTTTAAGTTTGACTTGGCGGCAAATGTAGAGAGATTCCAGAGATTTGAAAACTGAGGCTGGGCGGATTGTGTTTTGGTGTGGTGGGGGGTAGGAGTGTTGTTTTTCAAAAGGAAAGCATACAAGTTGAGTTCATACAGTATTTGAAAAGATAATTTGTAATTTTGGCTCTTAGAATTGAATGTTTGACTGATGCGCTCCCTTCTTTGTGTCCTAATATTAAAAATTGGACAACTTAGGGCTTGTCCAGAATGAGAAATGAGAGACCAAATTGGGAATGCAAAGAGGGAATCAAGAGTTTAGATGATTCGTGATTCAACCTGAAGGAGCCAGAGGTTTGATGGGTTTATGTTTAGTGTTAGGAAGAAGTAGATAAATGGAACATTTTTGGATATATGAAGTCCTGTAATTCAGTCCAAAGTGAATTTTTATTTTTAATTTGGTTGAATGATGATGTTATTTGAAGCCCAGTCAGAAATGCCATGAAGGTCTGAGATATGAAGACTACAGCACTTGATTTCTATGTGTTGCTTTTAAAATCAGTGTATTTTGTATTTTAGCAGCCCTTATTCCTCTTTGTGAAAAACTACCCCAGCTGTACAAACTGTTGCTTGTTTGAGGTGTCTTTGCACTTAATAGAATATTTGCAGAAGTCCAGTTCTCTTTGTGAGCATGTAGGAATCAACCTGTGGCCCTCCATGCATCGTGTGTATGTTCTGGTCTTCCTCCAGCTCTGTGTTTTGTTGATGTGGGAACTCCAGTTTGCCATCATCCTTTAGCCCTTTTGACTAAGGTGGCTTAGGATTACACTGATTTGTAGTCACATAGCACTAGACTGGGGGGAGATACTGGTGTGGAGGGAAAATGTTCTGCTTAGACTATGCAAGATGTGCTATGTACAAATGTCACAGAACCAACTGGAGTATTCTTGAAGCGCTGAATAGAGCTCTCCTGTTTCCACACAGAAGGGAGAGCGTTCTCCTGGATGGCGAGAATGTGAAGTAATTTCTCAGAAAGATTCTTTCAATTCCATCCGAGTCCCTGTCACTTTTTTGATGTCCACCTGGTCTACATGGTGGCCCCCCCTTTTGTTTTGAAGTTTGAACAACCAGCTTTGCCTCCATGTGGTATCTAACATGACAAATCCAGCGGTTAATTTTTTTAGGGGGAAAAAATGCCCGTGGTCTGCCACCTCCTGAAGGAGGGACCCTCTTGTTTACTTCCATTTACAACGTGCCATCTTGAGATCCTGTTCCTAGAGAAGAGAATGGTTGGAATCCCCAACTCTTGCTTTCTATCTGGGGCAGATGCCGCAAATGCCGGAGTTTGTGGTGGATGCAGCTGCCTCCAAATAAGTATTGTGTGTGTGTGTGTTGTCTCAGTTCTCATATGGGTTGCAAGAGTTGTTTATAATGATGCATGTTGACTAGTCATGTGTAAGAAAAAAACAAAAATCCACACAAGAGGATAAAAAAAAAATACAGGTTCCACAATTTGTATTTCTCTGTATTATCTTTTGGCCAGAAGTATCTGAAAATTCTGTTTTCGGTTTTGTGTGAATGTGTGGCATTCTTATGTATGCAGTGCGTCACATAAGGGGCCATAGGATGTGTGGGGTATGGTACAAAAAAAAAAAAAGTGTACAGCTTCATATGTAAAGTTAATGTATCTGACATTAAAGACTTGTGAATGGAATAATTTACTTTGTCAAGTGTCTGGTACTTTTCAAAACGGGGTTACATATTAAAATGCACTGGCACTCATTGGGTTGTACATTTATATTAATAATAAGCAAAATGGCACAAAGGAGGACGTTTTTAAATTTTCCAGAATTGATCTGGCAGATGATAGCAAAAGTCATGCATGCTAAAATCCAAGGACAACTGGTAAGGCAGTCTCTTCCAGTAGGAAGGAACCGTGACCAATGCTGAAAATTTTGAAAAAGCACCTTTGGGACAACCATGACCTACTTGGATGATGACAATGGACACTTGTAAATGGAAAAGTTGCTGCACAATTAAAAAAATAAAAAGGTAGAAAAAAGATGGCTAGTATTTCATTCCATCCATAACAACCCTGGGATTTGCATGCTTGTCATTTAGAGAAGAGTCACTTTTTTCCCTTTATCGTGTTGGACAGTGTTCAATTAGTGTAGTGTTTCTCAACCTTGGCCCTTGGGAAGATCGTGAGTGGCAATCACATAACCCCAGGATACTATAACCATCATAAATATATATGCCAGTTGTCAAGTACCTGAATTTTGATCATGTGACTGTAGGGATGCTGCGATGTTTGTAAGTGCTCATAAGTCAGTTTTTTTTGGTGCTGTTACAACTTTGAAGGGTCACTAAATGAAAGGTTATAAGTCAAGGGCTACCTGTAGTACAATTTCACTGTCACTTTCACTTCCACTTTCACGTAAAGTCAATCTATTTCTCACAGAGAGATGATTCAGTACTACTGGAGCGTCTCTTGGGGTTTAACTTAAGGTGATTAATGAATTTATGAAATGGATGTGTTTTCATTGAATTTTTCCCCTCACTTCTGATTAAGGAACTTGAGAGTAAAACATATATGAGGAACGGAATTGGGTATGTCTACTTCAATGAAGAGAAGGATTAGGGGTGACATGATAGCAATCTTCCCAGGGGTGGGATCCGACAGAGTTAACTACCAGTTCGGTCATTTACGAGGTTCGGTGTGCACCTGTAAATCGTCATCAGCACGCTACGTGCAGAGAAGCAGCCTTTGAAAAAGCACCTTTTTCCTGCTTTTTTAACTGCAGCTGTGCCTTGCATGGCAGCTGAAGTTGAAAAAGCAGGAAATAAAGGTCTGGTAAGAGGGCGGGCGGGTTGGCGGGCAAAAACATCAGCAGATATAGAACTGGTTCTATGTCTGCTGCTCTTCAGAGCTACCGGTTCTACAGAGGTGGACAGAACCGGTAGAAACCCACCCCTAAGTCTTCCAATATCTCAGGGGCTGCCCCTAAGAAGAAGGGGTCAACCTATTCTCCAAAGGACCTAAAGGCAGGACAAGAAGCAATGGGTGGAAAGCAATCAAGGAGCTAACCAATCTAGAACTAAGGAGAAATTTCCAGACAACAATCAATTCGAGCAGGGCTATCAAACCCACTGCCCGTGGGCTGGATGTGTCATGCACTGTCCATGCACATGCCTGGTTCAGTGAAGAAGGAAAAAATTGCCTCTGGAAGTTGTGGGTGCTCCAACACTGAAGGTTTTTTTAGAAGAGATTGGGCAACCATTTGTCTTGAATGATATAGGGCAGGGGTTCCCAAACTTGGCAACTTTTAAGACTTGTGGACTTCAACTCCCAGAATTAATGAAATGTTGGCTGGAGAATTCTGGGAGTTGAAGTCCACAAGTCCTAAAGTTGCCAAGTTTGGAGACCTCTGATAGAGGGTTTCTGGCTTGAACAAGGGGTTGGACTAGAAGGCTGCCAAGGTCCCTCCCAACTCTTGTTATTCTTTTATTCAGACCTTGGTGCTGAGGAGCGCAATCCGAAAGAATGTTCTTGTTTTAGATACTGTACAGTTTTAGATAGGCCAGGCTTTCCGATCTTTAGTTATGGTGCCTCTGTTCACACAAACATGGTTCAACCCACACCAAACTCTTATATCGTCATACAATATCTGTGCCTTTGAATGGTAGTTTACAATCCATAGTTTAAGGCTTACTGTATTGTGGGTATTCAGCCATTGAGATTTAGCAAATTATAGTTTAAAATAATGGTTTAAAAATTGACAACACGGTTGAAAATAATAGATGAAATAATAATTACAGATGATTCTATTAAACTTAATGTGGAAAATGAAAAGTTCTTCATTTGTTGTAATCATCTCAAAATGTTAAATGTGCAGATTGCTTTTAGTTGCTATAGAAACCATTTCAAGCGTCCATTAATAGAAGCAAGCAATCTGGCATAGAATCTTTGAGTAGCCTCATAGACATTGATTTCACACATTGCATTCATGCCATAATCTAATCTGTTTGTTACTTGTTAATGTTGTTTCATGCTATATTTGACCTTAGCATTGTAGTTGTTTAATTATAGTTAACTCATTTAGCTCAATGTGTTAACCAGGCTGGATATCAAAACATCCCCAAATGCTTAAACCATAAGTTGTTGAACAAACCTTAAAATATCTCGGTTTCTCCGACAATAAATCATAAACCATAGCACACCTGCAGCTATGACCAGGCTCATAACATATTATGCAGAACATTTAGATTTATTGCCAATCTTATCATCAATTGCTGGTTTTCAGCAACCACATAAGTTAGATTTCCTCCAGAAACATCTGTCCCCAACCAATGCTTCGATCTTCCAATGATGTATGCATTTCTACTGTTAACTATCCTAAAACTAAAACTGTATTAGAATTTAGGACGATCTGTATACTAAATTCAAGTATGCATCTTAGTGCTGCTTCATGCTCTAACTATCTTTCACCAAGCAATTTTGGTTGTCTACAGCAAAAATGTTTAAATCTTTCTTGGTTTGTTTTTGATGCCTGGGAATTGCCTGGACTAATCCCTGCAGTTTTATTGGTAGGATTTTGGATGTGATTTGCCATTGCTTCTTCCTAAGGCTGAGAGAGAGTGACTGGCTCAAAGTCGCCGGGAATATAATTTCTATCTGTCAGCTTGTAGCCCAGTGCCTTTAACCATCAAACAAAACTGGCTCTTTTTAAGCCTTTCTCTTGGATCCAGGCTGGATAAGGTTTGTTTAAGGTCTCAGCGAAAAGTGATGTTGACTAGAGTTCAATCACATTTCAAATGAAACTAACTCAATTAATATACATATTTCATTACTATTTCCCTTGCATACATCACACTATAAAAAAAATGTTGCAACTCTAGAAAGAGAGCAGAGAAGAGCAACCAAGATGATTAGGGGACTGAAAGCTAAATGAAGAACGACTGCTGGAATTGGGTACAGGTAGTCTAGTGAGGAGAAGGACCTGGGGAGACATGATAGCAATGTTCCAATATTTGAGGAACTGCCCCAGAGAGGAAGGGGTCAAGCTATTTTCTAAAGCACCTGAAGGCCAGACAAGGAATAATAGATGGAAACTGATTAAGGAGAGATTCAACCTAGAAACGAGAAATTTTCTGTCAGTGAGAATAATCAACTAATGGAACAGAAGTTGCCTTTGGAAGTTGGTGGGAGCTTCATCACTGGAAGCTTCCAAGAAGAGACTGGACTGCAATCTGTCAGAAATAGTGTCATCACTGGAAGCTTCCAAGAAGAGACTGGACTGCAATCTGTCAGAAATAGTGTCAAGTCTCCTGCTTGGGCAGTGGGTTGGACTAGATGACCTACAAGGTCCCTTCCAACTCTGTTCATCTGTTATACACATGTACATTCAAAATCTTTTATCAGCTAACAAAGTGGAAAATTTGCATTAAAAAGAATGCTCATAGTTTCTTTTCGCACTGCATGCTCCTGTCTTTTCCTTCAGGGTGATTTCAAAGAAGGGATTTAAATTATTTTAAACATGCGTTTTCCAAAACATACATACATACATACATAAATACCTAAACACACACACACACACACACACACACACACACACACACATATATTCCATGGTTTATTGACTTATAACATTAAAATAAATCCTAGTTACTTGTATTTACACAGCACATTTAAGTGTTAATCATGGTTTAGAAATCACTGGCTGGGCTTCAACAACACGCTAAAACAAAATGTGATTGGTTTGATTTTCATTTAGTGTGCTGCATAAATTTAGCCATTGAAATAGTCTTCCTTTGTAAACTTCTGGGCTTTTTATCAGAAAGCTTCAGAATCCACTGGGGTTAGATGAGGAGTCCTTGGTCCTCTCTGAGCTTTTTCGTTTTCCTGCAGACATTTCCATACCTGAACTAGGTGCTACCATAGAGTACTATTTGCTGCCAGTTTATATTCTGGTGTCTTGCCCGTCTGTATTATTTACTAAGGGCTCTTTGGCAGTTTCTTGATTGGGGTGTTGCTTCTTGGTCTAAAATGGACCTTGGAGTTAATCGATGCTGATCTGAGTGCTGATTACTGTTGGAGTGGTGTAGAGTTGTAATTGCAGGAATGTTCCAATCTTGGATGGCAAACCTCAGATAAAGAATGTTTCCAAGCAAATACAACTCAGGTAAACAAAGTCACTAATCTAAAGGAGGATTAGAGAGAGGAAGTAAACATATGTTAGACTTTAACTAGAGATAATTAATTGTATGGATTACTGTGCTGAACAGTAACCAAAGTTAAGCAGTAACCAAAGTGAACCAGTGATGGAGGATAACTAAAAATGTGTATAAATGCAAGACTAGACTCCAATAAAGATCATCATGATTCAGTTGTTCATGATCAAACAACTTGACTGCCTCGTCATTACAACAGAGTGGTGCCTGGAGTCTTTAACTTAGAAACTTAATTTTGAGCAATATTTATTTCATTGGCAAGAAATGGGATTGGAAAGGGATCCTCTCTCCATCTGAACCCCTTGATCAGAGTTTTTCAACCTTGGCAACTTTTAGATATGTAGACCAACTTCCAGCCTTCTGGCTGGGGAATTCTGGGAGTTGAAGTCCTTATATCTTAAAGTTGCCAAAGTTTTAAAAAACACACTGATAAGAGGAATTTCCGACCCATATTGATGGGTTGCTAATTTAGCAGAGTCTC